GAAAACAGTGATGGTCCCCAAGGACCATCATACTCAAACAGAACATCACCTATTTATAAGCATATTTTCTCCTTTTTTTTTTTTTGAAATTTTCGGATTGTTACAAATGGTTATGACTTCCATATACAAAAGATAAATAGTCTCTTTGTAGACAATTTCTTAGGTTTTTGTTCAATTTTGAATACTATTATTTTTAAGTATGGAGAACAAAATATATCACTCCATGTTGAGGACTTGGTTTTATGAAAGGCTAAGCACAATGGCCTTCATGTTGCATAAGGGTAGTCATATTTATAAAGAGACATTTATCTTTAATAAAAGGAGGTCATAATTATTCTTATCTATTGGGTGGTTATGAGTGTGCATTGACTAGATTTGAAAGCTGAAAAAAACAATTTCTAATACTTCATAACACACGCCAAGCCATCCAATTCGACTTCTAATGGCTAGTAGTAATTATGACCTCAAACATCATTTTTCCCTCTAATTTTTCTTTTATAAATTGATGCTTTCACCTCAAAGTCTAAAAAGAATTGCTATTAGAACAAGACTTTTAATCAAATAATTTTTTTTTATCCCTTTAATTTGTTTAAAATCACCTCCTCTAAGCCCTGTCAACAATCAAATTAAATGAAAAATCCTAGCAAAATAGGAGTTCCTATGGACAATGAAGAAAACAAGATTTATCTCAATAAAGTAAGTGTGTGGCAATATTGGAAATAATTATAACATAAAAAAAATATAAAAACGAAAATTAAATACTGCCAATTTTAGTAAATGACTGAAAAACTCTTCCCATATATTTGTAAAATAATAGTTAGTATGTATGGTGAAGTGGTATATGAAACACACCAAACCTCATCAGAAAAGCCACAACGGGTGCCAAATATGCAAAGAAGTGGTCCCCACCTCGATGACCATGCATCAGAAAAAAAGATGATGGATTTAATGCTTTAAAAACAAACCACATTGTTAGAAGGTACATTTCTATTCTCTTATCTAATTATGAAATTTGAAATTTGAAAAAAATGATATAGATTGAGCAGAGCTATAAACATTTGATAATTTTTAAAATGGATAGTCTCAAAAATAGGTTACAAGATACAATTTTTTAAAGAACTTTTTCATATTGATGTATCTTGAGATCAAGATGATCAATTGGAAAGTTTTCTAACATTAAAACAACTTTTAAGATGAGTTTTTGAAGTGTATCTTACTTCTATAATACAAGCTTGATGCCTTATATAAACTTTAACCAGAAAATAGCCTTATGCATAACTACATACACCACTGGGCGACGCATGTAACATGGATCTATCATTTTATACATGGGAGTGGCTTGAATAGGGTATTAATATTAAACAATCAAAGTAAGGAGCACATCTCAACCCTTCCAAAAGTTGTAGTGCAAGTACCAAAAAGCTCAATGATGATTTGAAAATCTATTTTGATCTTTAATTATAAAATTTATTGTTTTAAAAATGATGTAAATTAAATAAATATATAAAAACTTAAATATCTTGAAAGTTTGACGGTTTAAATAGACGTTACTAATGCTCTGCTTTCATGATTTAATGCCTTTTTCTTTTTTTTGTATCTTGAGGTGGAGATTATAAATTAGACGGCTTTCTAGCATCGGAGCAACTCTTTTACACCTTACTTCTCTAACATAAAGTTGGCATTGTATATAAATTTTTTATTTATACATTTCATTTGTTATATAACTTTATATTCCATAAAAAACTGTTATTATTAGGAAGTTATCCAATTTCAGAATTTTCTTCTCTCACCTAAATAGCAATTTTGAGGTGGAAAACAATGGAAACCCTACCCATCCCCAAGAGAAAATCTTGGAACCCTTTGACTCCTTTCTCACCAACAACTCCTCCCAATTTGACCATCCCGATTTTCTACTCCCCATTTTTATATTTAATTATTTTTCACTCCATATATAAAATAACAAAAAAAAAAGATTATTTTTTAATTTTAGAAACTTAAAGATCAAAGGTTCAACTACGGGACGACCAGGAAAAAGAAGAAGTGCATTAATACTTGCCCTCGCACCTTCGAGTCCTCGCGTCTCGTGTATCGTGATTAAAGACTATATCGCCGCGTGTCCACCAGTTGTCCGCCTTTTACCGCGACGCAAATGTTAAATCAATGTCCATAAATACCCCCATCTCTCATCCAATTTATCATCATGCATCCTTTTAAATGACCCTATTTTGGGCAACTCCTAGGAAATCATCATGTTTTTAACTTCATTTTAAGTTTCTTCAATGAGAAGGTTCCAATGGTTTACATGTTCGAACTTCTTGTGAATGTCCCTCAAATTTTTATTATTTTTAGACGCTAATCATTTTACTAGGTTTTTTTAATTTTTTTAATACATTTTATTTCAAACTTTCAAGATCTAAATTCATAATTTATTATAACCATGGATGTTGAAGACTATAAACATTTTTAAATTGTAATTTGGGAGGACATTTAAAGTTATAGATACCTGCATAGTCCAAATCCAAAAAATGACGTCTGATCTCAAAGCTGCGAAATCATTCTCTAAAATATTTTATTTCAGATTTTCAAGATATAAAATCACTACACGCGAGTGAGTTATGATTAGGCATATTAAAAATCTGAAATAAAGGCATTTTAGGAAAAACTTCTACATCTCATGAAAAAGAGTTCAGTGATCTTAAAAGGCCGTTTTTGAAAAAATATAAAAATATATTTTTTTTAAAAAGAGATATTATGAATGTAAAATACAGTATTTCAAAAAATATTGAATTTAAGGAGGGCAAAGGGTAAAAAAGGTAAAAGTGTAATAATAGGCCAAGAGGAGGGTAAAATTGGGAATGAGTGCGATTGTTAATTTGTTACCGCTGTAACAAGAACGTAGTCGAGTTGCCGCGTACTCGTAGCAGAAGGTTCGCTGTGCTACACAACTGTGCCCAATTAATTAAATTAAAAGCCATTTGACGTTCTCACTTGCCAATCACGAGAGATGGCGTGTGCCTCTTTCTCTCTCTTCCTTTCTCTTTCTTGCTCTCTGGGTAATGCCTCTCTCTCTCTCTCTTGAGCCCCAAGTAAACCCCTTCTCTCTCTCTAGCCCGTGGTCTTCGTCCCTTTCGACTCTCCC